GTCCCAGTCTGTACATGTACAGTTCCCTCTTTTGCTTAACTGTTTTGATTCGTTTTTATTCTTTGATCTTTCTCGATAGACACACATCGTTTGTTCCAAAGAAGTATTTTTCGTCTGTCATCATGGGGCTCTGTTTTTGCATCCTTGTCCTTCATGGCCGACAAGTAAGAGATAAATTGAGTAAAATACCCCATGTGCTCACTTTTTTCATTGATTGAGTAGGCAGTAGAAGTGGGTGTGGTCTTCCTTAAGACGCATGCGCGCATATGTTGCACACGCCTGGCTAATGTCTACAAATGTCTCTTTCAGGCTGAACGAACTGCACGTCTGTTGTTCTTGTGGAAAATGGAGGTATGCTTGAATATTTGATTCCATAATGACAACCTCTTTGTGCCACGACTCATTTTGCGTTTATATACGAAAGGAAAACTTTTTAAATGAAAGACGAGGTTATTCAATAAAAGACACGGGCATACTCGAGAAAAAAAGAACTCCGACTGCTCGAACGTACGACCTTCCGATTATTTCTTCAGACTCCTTTAGAGCGGCTTCGGGAAACTCTTTTTTGAGGTGCAAGATGTGATTTTTTTTTTGCAGGCTTTTGAAAAGAAAACAGAATTAGAAAAAATCAGGGAAAGAAATCAAAAGTTAGTGAATAACATCTTACCTGAACACGTGGCGGATTATTTTCTTCAACATCAGAATAAAGACGAAACGGTAGGTTGGATGCTGCGTCATTTTCATATTTGTGAGTATTATGGTTTATCTCTCAAATCTAATCATGGTGTAGGCTTCACGTGATTGGCTAAGAAAACGCGGGAAACTCTACCACTCGCGCCAAGTCATCTAGTGCTTGTCTTTCATTGGTTGAAGACCCACGGTGGTAATTGTGTGAAAACAAAACTTGACTTTGTTCGGTTTATGGACAAATTCTACATGATCTGTTAAAAAAATCCCAAACGTCTCAGCTTTACTCAAAGCTCTCATGAACTGGAATGAAATTGGGCCCTTAACTCGAAATATTTTAATAGTAACGAAACAAAGTCAAGTTGAAATCATATCGTTGCATGACATATTTCTTTTGTTTTGCGTGACAGGACCTGTACAGCCAGTCATACAAGTACGTGACGGTCATGTTTGCTTCGATTCCAAACTTTGACGAGTTTTACTCTGAAGATCAAATCAACGATGGCGGAAAGGAATGCATTAGGTTCTTGAACGAGATCATAAACGATTTTGACGAGGTATGGTGAAACTAATAGTAACACAAGAAATTCACGACCTTTGCACTGACATTCACTTAGCTCTTTAACTCCCATGAGTGACCAAGACAGAATTTCTCCTTACAATATCAATACAATATCAAGCAGGCAGGTGATGAGAATAAAGAAAAATAACAATCAAGGGACTATAAGTTGATCCAACACCAAATTCTCCAAAATAACATCTTAAGAAATATATAGCAGACAGTAAAGAGAATTACTCATGAGATCATGGGAGTGAAGGGGTTGATATGGTTCCTAGAGACGAGGCAGCTGCCTCCCCCTCCCTCCCTCCCCGTGGGGTATCCTTCGTAAAACCTGAGCACTTGCAAACAAACTTGCAAGGGCTTGAATAGGTTATTGGTATGTTAAAATCTTTGAGCGCTTTTCAATTGAGTGTCGTAAAACCAAAAACAAAGTAATTAAAACGGCAATAACCAATGAGAATTCAAAATAATTAAAAAAAAACAACAATCTGCCTAAAGCGCGGGAAAATGCAGGCATCAAGTCATGATTGGTTCTAGTTTTGCATCTGATTGGTAGAGAGAGAGAGAGAGAGAGAGGTGTGAGTTTTCTGGACCAATCACAGAGCAAAATAAAACAAAACCAATGCAATCCCGGCTTACTTTCTGCCCTCAATTGAAAATTACTCCATCAAAATGTTAATGGGAGTTTATCGAATTTGAAGATATATTATTTAATTTTCATTTGTTTTCCAGGTTCTGGCAGAGGCTAGATTTCGAAGTATTGAGAAAATTAAAACGATCAAGAGCACTTATATGGCGGCTGCAGGACTCAAACCAGAATGTGAGGTAAAAAGATAAAGAACAAGGACCAACATACCGCAACTCAACTCCTCAACTTGTAAAGGAGGATTTTTGTTGTGTCAGAATAAAATTCATTTGATCCCCCCAAAGGCTCTGGAGTATTCTAATGACCACCCCACCCCGCCCCCCCTGATTGGCAGTCAATCTTCCATAATTCCCTCTTGATACTCTGCGAGCAACGACTGATCCCCCCTCCCTCTCCTTCCTCCTCTGAAAACCATGTGATCCTCTAAAACTCTTTAGGCTTCCTCCCGCCCGCCAGGCTCGTCCTTAAGAGGAATTGAAAACATGACGAAACTTAGAAGCTAGGCCTTTCACTAATTTGTCAAGATATTATAGAAAAACAAGATTATTGCAGGCCTTCGCGGAAAATCTTCGGTCTAATTTTTGGTACCAGTTTTAATGGAACGAAAAGCTGGTATTGCTGTTCACATCCGGGTATTAATTTTTTTTTGTTTCGATGTTCAGTCTCAACACAGTGAGAACTGGGAACAAGTTGTGACGGTTGTGGACTTTGCACTTGCCTTAAGGGACAAACTGGATTCTATCAATGCAGAATGCTTCAATCAATTTGTCCTAAGAGTGGGTGAGTTATCGCATTTAGTTTCCCTCTGTAAGTTTATAGAAAGTAAATAAGTCGAGAGTGGCTCTACTTGGACAAACGAAGAGAAAGTGAAAGTCCGTTTCCAAAACCTTCGGTATTTCCAATTAACAATTTTCCTTTCTCTTTTTTTAAGGAATCTGTCAAGGTCCTGTTGTAGCCGGAGTAATTGGCGCCAAAAAGCCGCACTACGACATTTGGGGCAACACGGTAAATGTTGCAAGCAGGATGGAAAGTACTGGAAAAGCTGGCTATATGCAGGTTTGTATTGTTTCTTAGTTGAGAGGTGCAAAACGTAGATGGAACATGGAAAATTTTTCATAGCACTACTTAGAAATTTCAACACCGATGCTACGAATGTGTAGTACTGTCTTGCTAGCTATTGGGCCGAGAAATTTTAAGGGAAAAGCTTGTTGAAGAAAAATTTTGCCAACGAAGATGATTTGATGAAGACCGTTACCCAACAATATTAAAACGGGAGTTCAACAGATTAGCTTCCCCAGGAAGCTTTCCTTTCAAATGTCATTTACATGTGTTTATTTTTCTGCAAATGCATATACCGAAACTTTTTTCCATAACCAATAAATTGCGCAGTCTGCGAGGAGGCTCTCAAAAGCGCTGAGGCATTGAGCTTCTTAAACCTCGCATCGCTGACCGTCTCGAAACGTGCGAACTTCGCACGCGTGTCAAAGCCTGCTTGCGACACTCGCGTGGCGGCTTCAATGATTTAGAGGAACTTGCTGTTGTTTTTGCAGGTTACAGAGCAGACGTACGAGATTCTGAAAGACAGGGGCTTTAAGTTCATCTACCGTGGACCTGTAAAAGTCAAAGGAAAAGGACAGTTGGTTACGTATTATCTCACTGGAAGAGAAGCTAAGAAAAAAACAGTGCACCTCAACTTGCCTAATATGGTGGCAATTTAATGTGCCTATTGAGGTCACGTGCTAAGTGTCGCGTCATATACGCCTGAAAAGGACTGTGAATAGTCCTGGGAAATTTTGGCGCCAAGTTAAACCCATTGGGTTGTGACATTCGATCGCTAGGCTGTAGTTTGGATATATTTGCCAAAAGAGATCTCTGGAGAGGGTAAAACAACTCTGAGTGCTGGGCATGGGGAGGGCTGACACCTTATCCCTCTGTAGAGAGTATCTTTTACTCTCCCCAGACTTCTCGCGCCAAACATTCGAAGCTGATGCCTAAATGGTCGACAGTGAAAATGAATGCTTTTGATTAAAAAACTGACTGTTGTTAATTCATACTTTGCACACTCTAGAAATACTGTAAAGAGTTGATTCGAAGCTCACAGAGTCAGACATAGCCGACGGATTTATTGGCGAATACTATTTTGAAAAAAGAAGGGTTTTTATATCCTATCAATAACGAATTTAGATTTGTATCATACGTATGTAAAAAACTAATATTTGCCGTGACATGAAATGTACAAATAGCCGCTGACTGGAATCAGCGGGCACTACTTTGTGAAAGTTTTAAAAACTTTTCGGATTTAAGATTTCTAATCTTCCCTATCCGTCAGAGAGCAGAAAATAGCGAAGCCATACTCGTGATTCACACCGTAAGCTCTGATGTCTGTTCATTTTTAAGAGAATAAGTATCATTCCAGATACATTTTAGGAACGAAATCTGAAATGTAAATTTTAGAGATATAACGAGTGTAAATAGAGTAGGTGGAGTGAAAATCTTTGATCATGAATTCTTTGGGCCTCGATTGTATTAATCGGGGAAGTGGGTGGGTGTGATGGTTTATATTATAAATCCTTTCTGTATTTGTCTTTTTGTCACAAAATTTGGATGGGCCATGTTTTAATTTAATTAAATATCAGCGGGACAGAATCACCGAAATAAAACTTAACAATATCAGAAAATACAGGCAGTTCATTAGAATCCAAAATCAGCTGAACTCGACAGTACATAGGTGCTGTGGCCAGCAAAACAGCAGCTTAGGGGAGGGGTGTTGGTATTCTGAGGCACTCGTGTCACTCCTCCCCCTTGCCAAAATAGCGATGACCTCAAATGACATTACGACGTGGTATTCCCTCAAATGCTATTAAGACACCTCACTGAAGACAAAGTTCCCTTCTCTTCTGGGCCTGCAATAGCTGGTACAGCGTTCTATCCCCAACCTAACAATAGTGACACTCGTGTAACGTTTTTTTTTTCGGTTTATCCGCCAAAATCAAGTTGGAGATAAAAACCTATCGCATTAATTTAATACAGGCAATCATCAAATTGTTTTTCTTTCTGAAAATTCAAAAGTTGGATCCCTGCGCAAAGCTTCAAAGTACAAGCCGACGTGAAATACCAGGGTGGCCGTAGAGACCCCTTTCAGAGAGCTCTGCGAAATGAAACGATTCAATCTGCTACACCTTACTTTTGCGTTAGAAAGATCAATATATATATATATATATGACACTGTAAAAAAACGCATCACTTAACTCTAGCGTCACAAGATAAGAATCTTTTTGTATTTTGGCTTAATTAGGGGCTCGATTAGTGACATAGAAATAATATCCGACATACCAAGTTGATTGAAAATAATGAAAATGCTTTGAACGAAGACATAACATCTATGAACGTGACTTGAATTGATTAACTCAAATTAGACAGATTCGCAAAATTGCACTTGCTGTTAAGTGTTTTGATGAGATGTACGTTCAGCCTTCGCATACACGGATAATAAACCTTTTTGAATTGATAGATTGATCAACAGTCTGCAGAAGCTTCTTATACGTATCGCTGAGTTCACGAAAGGTTAATTTACATAATTTTGTATGCCATTGCCCTAAAATCCAAGTTTAAAGCATTATTAAGTCCTAAGTGGACTCTAAAGTTAGAAAAAAGTTTTCTCAGTTTAGTTTCTCTGCTGTTTCTCTGCCACGGAAAAAAAATTATATCAGGAGC